AAATTTAGGAAGTAATTGAATTTTGAAATTTGGTGAAAACTTTAATCGAATTTCAAAATCTAGTAAAGTCCTTAATCAGATTTTGAAACAAGTGAAGTTCTTAACTGGACTTTAAAATCCATAAACATCCTAAATCGAATTTCGAAATGTGGTAACTTTATAAACTGGATTTCGATATCGGCTTAGTTTTGAAATTTGGTGAAGACCTTAATCGAATTTCAAAATCTAGTTAATTTTGAAATGTAATGAATTTTTTAATCGAATTTTGAAATTCAATGATTTTGTAAACCAGATTTCAAAATCTGATTAGTTTTGAAATTCGTTGGTCCAAATCCAATGACTTTTTAAATCGGTGTTCAAAATCCAGTTTGTTTTCTAAATAGTATGCACGATAAAGAAAACTATAGTAAACTAAACAAACTTAAACGATTACACCTGAATGATATCAAATAAAGAAGAAGATGAACGTTAACTGCTGGTGAAAAAGCAACCAAAATTCACCATCACACAAGAAAAAAAATAGAAACCACGAACAAAAGCAACAAACAAGAACGAAGCATAACAATAACAAAGCAGAAAGACAAAGATAAAAATGAAGCTGTAAACTTGGGGTTAGGTAAGAAGTAAATGCGAGTTGGTAAATAGTAATAACCTAAGTAAATGCGAGTTGGTAAATAGTAATAACCTAAGTAAATGCGAGTTGGTTACATAGTAATAACCTATGTAAATGCGAGTTGGTAAATAGTAATAACCTAAGTGTTTCTTTTTCGAAAGGTACCATGGTCACTTTGAGGTGGAGAAAAAAGAATTAAAAGTGGAGGGAGAAGCACCCAAACATGTTTTATCATTCCTCAAGTCGATAATGTAGTCCTCGTTGGGCCATTCTCATCACCTGTCTTTTAAGGGCTTTTGATTAGTACAACTCGGGTGTGTCTCCCTCCACCACCACTCCACCACCACCCCTTGTTCCCTCCACCTCCCTGTTTCTCTTTTACCCCTCCCTCTACCTTTTTATTCCTGATTTATCCTTGAGTAAAATTTTACTTTTAAGGTTAATATTTTTAAATTTTTATCTACTCCAATCTCCTACATGAATGTATAATATATATTTACTTGTATTCTTGTTTAACAATTTTATAATTATCCGAAACGTTTTTGCGAAAGTTTTTGCATTGTAAAATTTATTTTACTAATATCCAAACGAGAGATTCGGGAAAGTTTCCATTTTTGAAGTTCAATTTCCTTTAAGTTTTAGTTTCCATTAAATCCAGAAATGACTCCTCTAAACACGAATCCCTAAACACGAATCTCTGGCGATGCACACCACACCAACTTAGTACCTAGGCTATGCCACTTCAAAGGAGGTGGAGAGTTCTTTCTCGCTCGAGTTGATAGAATTCCAAGATCCTGCCACAGTTAAGTAACACTGACTGATTTTGGTATTTCATTCTTGGCAATATCAGATAATAGTGTAAATGGCAAACTTGTCAGGGAACAAAATCCAGAACCATTCGGTATATATGAAGTTGGATCCATCAGAAGTTTAAATCCCTATTTATGGTTATTATTTGATGAATTAAACAAGCCCATCTGTGAAAAAAAATGAATGATCGTTTTTTCGTTAGACGCAGATCGTTCAAATCATATATCATTGAAATTGTACTAAGAAATGTCAAACAAGCTTAAAACACTCTTATAATTTATGATGATACTAGGGTTATAAAACTAATACTACTGGGGAAAATTTTCTAAAGATGCCTTTATAGGAAGCATACATATGCTTAAAAGCTCTTCCACTTTGCTTTTTAGTCTTGATGTCGCTTGTTGAGACAGCAGACCCAGAAATCTTGTTAACCTCGTACAACAATCCAGCCGAGAACAGGAAACTGCATTTGTGCAAATATGAGGAACATCACCAATGAGTTCATATGAAAATATGAAATGATGCATTTTAATGGTTTTTAAGTACTTAAGGATCCACAACTAGCCATTATGTTGCTGAGTTTTGGATATGATTTCCTCTTTACAAGCCAGACCACGATAATGACAATACTTTGCTACACTAGGTCATCATTAATTGCTAATATATTCTTGATAAGAATCCTTTTTGTTTCATTAAAAAAGGTGTACCTTTTGAAATAGAAACATCCTTATAATTTTTTGCAATTTGCAAGCATATATTAAGCAGCTAAAACTAATGCACTCACTCACGAAAGTTGTAAAATATGAAAAGCGATTTTCTCGAAATATGTTAAATAGAACGTGCACATTTTTGTTTAAGTAGTTGATATATTTGTTCTTAATAAAAAAAGTCGTCAGGCACCAATAAGTTGTTGAGGTCATATGATTATTAACTAGGCCTTAAGAAGGTTTGACAACAATGTTATACTCAATTATCAGCAGTTTGATTATTCTAAGATAAGAGGTATGATTGCCTTTTGAATGTGTCCCTGCCTCATACTCTATTAAATACATCACATAATGCACCTTTCTCAGTGAGGTTCTCATTCATTCATAAGGCAAAAGAGGATTGAGAGGAGCATACTAAAAAAATTAAAAAAAAACATCCAGACCTGAATAGATGTCGCATATCCGTTGACGGATATCAACATCCGTTTCAGGCTCAAACGGATATGCGACATCCGTTCGTGTTATCTTCTTTCTCCTGCTCTGCACACACGCACACACAGAGAAATCACAAGAGCACACAGAGAAATCATAGAGCAGAGAAAACCCAAAACAACATCATCAAGCACACAACAAAGAACAAACTAACCTCTCGTAGACTCAAGTCGCGAAGCACCACTGAACACCGCACACACAGCCGCACCCTCTCACCGCCACACCGCCGAACCACGAAACCCAAACAGAGACGGAGACAGGAAACAAACAAACGGATATGGAAGAGAAATAACGGATCTGAGAGTTGGAGGGAAACATAGCTGAGATGGAGGGGATAGGAATTTGGAAAGAGAGAAAAGAAAAGGGAGTGGGGTTGCACAGTTTAGGGTTTATGAAGAGTAAAGAAGAGTAACTATATAGAGTTAAAAAGTAAAAAAGATTAATTTTGTAATTGAAGTTTTTTTATAGAAAGTTGGGAAAATAGAGGGAGCAAAAACGGTGGTGGAGAGAGCAACACCCCTATTGTGAATTTCACTCCCATACTAACAGAAAAAAAAATTAAGATATCCTCTTTCCTGGATTATGTCATCATTATCATTGTCGCTGTAGGAGAAGAAAAATAGAATTTTGTTTACTCTGTTGCAGTTTTCTACACTGGGCACTGATTTTAAGATTTTAAAGTATATTAAAATTATTTTTAAAGTACTAACATTATATATTTTAATATTCAGTCGAAAACATTACCCAAAAAACCCGATAAAAAATCTGAGGTCAGAGAAAAAAAGAGATAGAGAAAACTAAAAATAAGAGAAAGAAAAAGCATTGAAAAAGCAGGAAGAAAAACTTGTCTCTAGGATGGAAAAACATGACGACTTTTTCTTCCTATAATTTTTAACTGCATCCTCGTGATTTTTAAAATGATAATTTTACCCTTTATAAATTTGTCTTCCAGTTTAAGAAATCTTCAAAAATGAGTTTTTTTTTTCTAGAACAAGCATTCTCTCTTCTTCTTCCTCTAAAAAAAGTGCAGTGGAGAACGGAAGTACAATTATAATGATGATGAAACAGTGGTGACATGGTGCAATGAGTGAAGGTGTATTAATCTTTTTTTGTTAGTAAGCGGTCCAATTACTAATAGTAGGGGTGTAGGCAGAAAAAGCCAATATTAGATAAGTTATCATTGATAACCAATACCCAATGGCTGCTTGCACTCCACTTTGCTCTTCCTACACACCCATACAAGTTGTAATTACCAAATTACACCCGTTAAAAATACAATAAAAATTTCTAGATTTTCTTAGTTTTAATATTTTTTGGATTTTATGTTTCAAAAATGTATATTCGAATATCGAAATACTTTTTAGAACATTTAATTCAGAATCTTAATAAGTGTTTTGAAAAGTATTTTCGAAATGAAAAATATTTTTCAAATTTTTTTATATTTCATTATACTTATTCTAAAATATATATAAAAAGAAAAAACTTGAAACAGTATACACATTTTCAGATCTGAAAACACCTTAAAAAATATTTGTTTTAAATTTTCTTTTTCATATTTGGAATATAAAAAATTTCCAAAAGTGGTTCGAAAAATATTATTTTCATATCCGAAAATGTGTTTCGAAATGGTTTAAAAAATAATTTCTTTTTCGGAGATGAATCCGCAACTCATATATATATATATAGATAGGTTAACTCCCAATTTATTCCTTAAAAGTGAAAAATTGATTTAATTGGGACTCTGCCGTTAAGTTGATTTAATAGGGTTAAAATTTTTATTAGATGGGACGTTGACGTTGTAAGTTTATTATACCTTGCATAAGTAAGGTGTTATGTGAAATTTTTTAAGTTTGACGTGAAAAATGTTTAATTAAAAAATAAAAAAAAGGTCATCCTCCATTACAATGAATCACCACCCAGAAATCCTCTTTCCTGTGCATCACCCAAAAATCCTTTTCCCTATGCATCAAGCCTAAGACACAACAGAGAGAGAGAGAAGAAATTCATATTCTAAAGAAAATAGAAGAAGGAAGCAATTGGTAAAGAAGAGTGAAAATGGTTGTTGGAGCGCCAGTGGTGGATGCAAGATTCGGCGTTTCTCGTGATTTGGTGAACCCATTTTGGAAGAGGAAGGGAACAGGCCAACGACGCTTCCGACCGGCGTTGCCTCTGGTTACAGGTCGTGACGTGATTGGTGCGTGGAGGACCCGTTGGAAGTGGTGAGTGCAGGAGTGAGAGGGAACTTGTGGTGGTCGCAATTTAGGGGATTTTTGGCGAAGAAGAAGCCCCTATGTATTTTTCAAGAGAAGAAGGGTTGGCTGTTTTATAATGAGGCTGGATTGCCGAGTGTGCTTGAAACCTGGTTGCCCTAACTCAAATTAATTTGTTACATTTAAATTGTAAAACCCCTAAAATGGTTAGGGTTTCTTTGAATTATGAAGATGTAGCAAAAGAATGCTATCCTCAGTCACTCCCAATGTTTCTTCCTTTTCTCTGACGAAATGGAAATCATCGACCCAAAAAGCCTCTTCACCCTTCGCGCCGCTTATTCCCTAATTCCATTCACAACGTCTCCATCCCTCTCTACAACTCTATCATCTGAGATAAATCCAACAAAATAATCTAGCTTTGGCGTCATCCAAATGAGTAGGTTTTTCCTTTGAATTTTACCTATCCAAAACACAGAAAAAGAAACCCATTGCGAGTTCATCTCTCTCACGGAAAACATGAGAAAACCCCCAATCTCGAAGGAGAGGCCCTGAGAGATATTGGACTCCACTCCAATCTTGAACCTAATTTGATTTTGATAAACCCTAATTTGGTGGTGCTTAATTTCATATTTTAGAAACTTTTTTGGTTTCATGAAAATCAAATTTTATGATGAACCCTGAGCATCAATCGCTAGGGTAGAAGATGATGAAAGGTAAGGTTGAAGATGATGAACCCTAATTTGGGTTTCAATTTTCAGAATTTTTGTTTGTTATATATTCACGTATAAACCTATCTAAATGCCACGTACTAAAAACTTACCACGTCAAGGTGCTAGGTCATAAAAACTTAATATCGTTAAGTCAATTTAACGGCAAGGACCCAATTGAGTCAATTTTTCTTTTAAGGACTAAATTAGGGAAACCAATAGTACCATGATCTAATTGGGAAAAACCAACGTAAATATGGACTACGGAAGTGGTTTAATCATTCGACAGGTCCTATTTTTGGGTGGGAATCTCAAATTGATCCTCTTCTTTTTCGACGTCTCAATTGGGTCCTTGTTTTATGAAAATTGCAACAATTAGACCCCTGTCGTTAAATTGGGTCTAACGACGTTAATCTATGGTTGACGTGGCATGCTAACTTTCATTTTTAAATGACGTGGAATATCTTATTTGATGTATGTGATTTTGATGTGTCTTTTGATTTTTTTTAATAAAACAAATTGGTAAATATGAATTAAACATTAAACTGCATACTTTGTTTGAATTAGGGATTGGAAAATGAAGTTTGATTTTAGGGTTCATACAAATTAGGAATTAATTTCAGAAATTGTTCTCATTGATGCTTCTGCCTTGGACTCAGCTTCTGATGTTGGCTCAGATTCTTTAGAGGAAGATTATGCAAGAATTATATTTGAAATCATAATACAAGGTTGAAGGAATTAACACATACAACAAAATCATAACAGTTGGAACTACCTCTGAAATTATTTTCTTAAAGAAGATATAAGGAAAGACGTTTTTTGCCTTGGCCACCATATGCACTGTCGTAGTGACCACCCAAAGCAACAATCTAACCTTAGTCGTCGTCGTCACGCGCAGGACGCGCCGAACCACCACCGCTGCAACCTCCAGCTGCCACCATCTTCGAGCATCATCTTCCTCGCACATCCAAACCCCCAGGCCGCAACCACCATGAATCATGTGGCTTTTCCTTGCGTCGACCACTACCTTCAACGCATCATCTTCTTTGCATAAATAGCCACCACACAAGCCTCCAATAGTGCAACATAAATCGTGAGCACCATCGCGGCGCGTCAACCTCCATGAAACACCACCAAACCTAATCATAGAAAACAAAAATCAATTTCATCAGAGAGCATCGTGCCTTGCACTTGCAAATCAAATGCAAAGGAGCTCTAATCCAGAAAAATTTCCAATTCGAAAAACCCCTTTCAAACCCTAAATCGCGTTTGAGCTCTCCATGGTCACAAATCGCATCTGAATCGTGATGTCACACAACCACCTTCCTCACAAGCGTTCAAACCCCAACTGCAACCCTCAATATTCCCTTTCAAATAATAATCGCAACCTGTAGAGAAAGAGAATTCGAAATAAGAAGCAGGAAAAACTCTTAAATTCGCGCAAAAAAGAAACCCTAAAATTGCAAAATCCTTTATCGCGATCTCTTCCATCAAAATAAAACTAAACTTTCTCATCAAAATAAAACCAAATCGCGATATTCAAATGAACCCTAAAACTAAATTTTCAATTTCTCTTGATTTCCAAGTATGTGTAATTAAGTTTTTCAAATTTTTTAATTTAAAAAAAATAAAATTCCATGTCAGACTTTCCTTTTAGTAAATAAATGAGCACGTCATTTAAAAATGAATATCAACATGGCACGTCAACCACAGATTAATGTTGTTAGAACTAATTTAACGGCAATGGTCTAATTTTTGTAAATTTCACAAAATAAGAATCCAATTAAGACGCCGAAAAAAAAGATGACTAATTTGATATTCTCACCCAAAAATAGGATCTTTCAAATGATTAAATATATATATATATATNACCCTAATTTGGTGGTGCTTAATTTCATATTTTAGAAACTTTTTTGGTTTCATGAAAATCAAATTTTATGATGAACCCTGAGCATCAATCGCTAGGGTAGAAGATGATGAAAGGTAAGGTTGAAGATGATGAACCCTAATTTGGGTTTCAATTTTCAGAATTTTTGTTTGTTATATATTCACGTATAAACCTATCTGAATGCCATGTACTAAAAACTTACCACGTCAAGGTGCTAGGTCATAAAAACTTAATCTCGTTAAGTCAATTTAACGGCAAGGACCCAATTGAGTCAATTTTTCTTTCAAGGACTAAATTAGGGAAACCAATAGTACCATGATCTAACTGGGAAAAACCAATGTAAATAGGGACTATGGAAGTGGTTTAATCATTCGGCAGGTCCTATTTTTGGGTGGGAATCTCAAATTGGTCCTCTTCTTTTTCGACGTCTCAATTAGGTCTTTGTTTTGTGAAAATTGCAACAATTAGACCCCTGTCGTTAAATTGGGTCTAACGGCGTTAATCCATGGTTGACGTGGCATGCTAATTTTCATTTTTAAATGACGTGGAGTATCTTATTTGATGTATGTGATTTTGATGTGTCTTTTGATTTTTTTTTTAATAAAACAAATTGGTAAATATGAATTAAACATTAAACTGCATACTTTGTTCGAATTAGGGATTGGAAAATGAAGTTTGATTTTAGGGTTCATACAAATTAGGAATTAATTTCAAAAATTGTTCT